GTCTTCTATGTAAAGTATCATATCATCAGCAAATAATGACAGTTTAACTTCTTCCTTTCCTATCTTTATTCCTTTTATTTCGTTTTTTTTTGTAAACAATTTTAATAGTATTTTTATGAGAGACCAAATGAGCCTTCTATCTTTTTGAAACACTGTAAAAATGAGACTGTTGCTCTTGTTAGTTTAAGATCCCACCAGTTTACACAGGCAGTACGAATGCCTAATTCACAAGAAAAATCATAAAGCGTTCTACCCTGAACTACAAGTTAGCTATTACAAATGAATTATAACAAAATCTGAAATTATAAAATCAGTCTCCAACATTTATTAATTAATTGGCAAAAAATTAAAAGAATACTGAGAAAGAAAATAAAGAATAAAATGAACAGTAGGCAAGAGAAAAGGAACCAACCTTTAAAAAGAAAAAAATACCACACTAGTCAGAACTACATGTGAAAAATGCAGAAGTGGCCAGGTTTAATAGAAATCTAAGAGGAACCCTGGCAGACTGGTATTCTAACAGCCCAATTCTAGATAGTCTCTAGTAAAAACACATAAAAACTGTATTTTTAGTCTGACTTAGAAACACATGGAACATGCTAGGAATCACGGAAAATCAACCCTCCAGCTCAGTAACGAGAGCACCTGCAGGGATCCCTAGAACAGTCACCTGGGTCCGTCAGAGCGGCAGGTTGCTCTTGTGAACCAAAAGCACTGGCTCGGGTCTGGATGAAGTACACTAGTGCTACGATTTTAAAGGACTTCACAGGCCCTTGCTTATGCTGGTTTGTAAATGTACCAGTCCAAATGCAGAATTTACTGTTTCAAAACCTTGCAAAATGAATTCTAAAAAGAGCTTAGCAAAGTAGCTTTAAAGAGTTTACTTTTTTAAAAAAAAGTTTACTTTTAAATGCATCTGTTGCTCCAGGTGCAAGGTTTTTGTCTGGATGAAACTTCAAAGCAAGCTTTCTGTAAGCTTTTTTCAAATCTTCATCACTTGCATCTTTCATAACTCCAGGTACTTCATAGTAATTTTTACATTTGTTTATGCTGAGAACACCCTCCACCTGGTCGCGGGGGTAGCCCTTCCCGCTCTCTGCACTTCCGGATATGCTGTCCTTAGTGCAGCTGGCCTTGCTCTGATCCCCGCCACTCGTGGGCTTCCGGCAGTGTGGGCTGTTTCCAGCAGTGCTTCCATTTTTCATGAACACTTCCAACAGTCCGCGCGCGGCAGGCAACAGGTACAGCCGCTCGGCCTTCTGCAGGAATCGCTGGGCCCTGCCGCTGTCTCCGGCGCCCAGGGCCTCGCACGCTATGCGCACACACCTCTTCGCATTGTCCCGGTTCCCCTCCATGCCGACCGCCGGAGGGCGGAGGCGGGCAGTGGGCGGGCAGAGCTCTCGGGCGGCAGGCGGCCCGGGCGGCAGGGCGCGGGCGCAGGGCCCAGGCGGCCCGGACTGATTCCTTTTATTTCTTTCTCTTTTCTAATTGCTGTGGCTAATGTTTTCAAAACTATATTGAGCAGGAGTGGTCTTGTTCCTGATTTTAGAGTGAAAGTTTTCAGTTTTTGACCATTTAGTATGATGTTGGCTGTTGGTTTTTCATAAATAGCCTTAATCAGGTTGAGATAAAGACCTTCTATTCCAATTTTCTATAGGGGGGCTGGGGATTTAGCTCAGTATTTTTCCCTGCCTGCTGCGCAAGCGCAAGGACCCGAATTTGATCCCCGGTACCAAAAAAACAAAACAAAAGAAATTTCTGTAGGGTTTTTTAATCATGAATGGGTGTTGGATTTTGTCGAATGCCTTTTCTGCATCTATTGAGATGAACATGTCCTTGACTCTGTTAATATAGTGTATTACATTTATTGATTTACGTATGTTGAACCATCTTTGCATCCCTGGGAGAAATTCGACTTGGTCAGGGTGTATGATCTTCTTGATGACCCCCTGTATTCTGTTTGCCAGTGTCTTGTTGAGGATTTTTGCATCTATGTTCATTAGGGAAATTGGCCTGTAGTTCTCTTTTTGGGTTGGGTCTTTCCCTGGTTTTGAAATCAAAGTAATACTTGCTTCCAGGAATGAATTTGGAAGCCTTGCTTCCCTTTCAATTTCCTTGATGAGTTGAAAGAATAATGATTAATGGTGATAGTTTTTCTTTAAATGTCTTGTAGAATGCAGCAGTGAAGCCATCAGGACTTGGGCTTTTCTTTGTTGGTAAATTTTTTATTACGTTTTCAATTTCACTCATTGTAATTGGGGTGTTTAGAATTTCTATATCTTCTTCATTTAACTTTGGCAATTCATATGTACCTAGGAGTTTGTCCATTTCTTCTGTGTTTTTCATTTTATTAGAGTACAGGTTCTTGAAGTAGGTAAAATTTCCTCTCTTGTACAAGCTTTGGTTTGTTAATGCTCTTCTTTTTCTAGGAGCTTGAGGTTCTGCATTAGGTTATTTATTTGAGTTCTCTCTGTTTTCCTAATATGGGCATTCACTGCTATGAATTTCCCACATAGAACTGCTTTCATTGTGTCCCATAGATTCCTGTATGTTGTACTGGTGTTATCATTTACTTGTAGAAACTGTCTAATTTCTTCTTTAATTTCCTCTGTGACCCATTGGTGTTATTCAATTTCCATGTGTTTGTGGGAGTTTCGCGATTTCTTATGTTATTGATCTCTAATTTTATTGCACTATGATCTGATAATATACAGGGGGTAACTTCAGTTCTTTTACATTTACTTAGACATGTCCTGTGAGCTAGCATGTCCCCACAGTGGTTTCATGGCATTGCTCCTACCCTGCTAGCCCATTGAGTTCAGTCCGGTGGTAGGAGCGGGGCCAGTCTCTGAAGGGGAGGGACTCCCTGAGCTCCTAGTTTGGTCATGGTCCAACTAACATATGTGCTTGGCTTTTTCCCCAGACCCTGGTGCTGGTGGGCTGTTTCACCATCTTCTGGACCATTTACTACATGCTGGAGATATATCTGAGCCACAAGAATGTGGCTTCCACCCAGGGTTGTAGGAACGGACCCTGCCACTGGCCCCAACGAAGCCGAAAATCCAGAGAGGAAGGGACAGAGCTAGAATCAGTGCCACTTTGCAACAGTAAGGATCTAAATGGAGCAGAGACAGAGAACAGGAGCCCTCCCACCACCGCTGACCTCCTTGCCCCAGACTTGCTCCATGAAGGGGACTGGACCTTGTCCCAGAACAGCCAGAGTGCCCTGGACTGCCCTTATCAGCACCAACAGCCAGACCTGTTGCAGGGGAAGGAGGAACAGATTTGCTGACCTCAGGGCCTGGTAGACTTGGAATGGGTCAGGCTCTTCCTTCCCAAAATTGGGGAACCTGCTCCCAACTTTGAAGAGCTCTGGGGAGAAAGTAGTCCTGATGCTTACATCTGGAACTTGAGGTCTCAACAGCATTCTCTGGCTACCCTTGGGGAGGGTGAGGACCTTCGTAAATAGAAGCGGCAGAAGACAGAACCAGAGAGAGGACAGTCTGGAGAGAGGCTAGGATCCTAACTGACTGGATGCTTTTGATGAGAAAGGCTTGCCAAGGGGTTGGCAAAATTGCTGCCACCATTTCTCTTGGGCAAGCTAGTGACGCAGGTCCTAGAGATCCCTACCCATGTAGGTTGAAAAGGTGCTTGTGTGGCCAGGAGAGTCCTCAACAGAAACATCGCTGGGATCACTAGGAAGGAGTGTGGCGGGAGACCCTGGGAAGAGCCCCAGGCTTGCCTGCCCTGAATCAGCGCCTTCCTTAGCCTTTCCTAGGAGTGTCACTCCGGGGCAATACCAGGCTTGAATGTGCCTGACCCCCTTCATCACTCCTGCTCTTCTTCCTGAAGGATTGGCACAGTGCTCCTGGCATAGCTGGGGAGAGTCATGGCTCCCCAGGGCCCCTACTGCCTCAAGAGGTCTGTGGTGGGACTGAGGAGCAGGTGTGAGATACAAGTGTTTTAGGAGAAGCCAAGGAAGCCACTGCCACTGCAGCCCTGTGACCACCCTGTCTTCCTCGGCAGTGCTCAGGGAAAAGCCCTTCCCCTGGAGGCCTACTGTCTGCCTGACAACCTGTGACTTTTCTTCCCATTCTTGGCCTCCTCCCTTCTTCTGAGCTAATTGATTGATTGGACTTTTTTTAATGCTTAAAATTTGATTTTCTCTTTTCACAGCAACATTTTGTTGAATTTTTTTCTGCACAGCTTTTCCAAAATAAAGACCTTCCAAACAATTCCACTGCTTCCCATCTCCTTCTTCTGCCTCCCAAAGCTAACTCAAGTGGCCAGGTTGTTCCCCTTCCCCTTGAGTCCCTGAGATTCACTCTCCCCTTCGGGTTTGTTTTTTCCGATCCCCTGGGGACCTGGGGGCATGAAGGTTCCCCCAGGAGGTAGATAGCAGCCAGGAACACACATGAACCCAAAATGCCAGCTGCTCCCTGCTCAGGAAGCAGAAGTGACAAGGGCAAATCAAACTCTGCAAGCCAGGCTTGAGAAAAGATGGATGTATATATATTTTTTTCCTTTTTGAATTTTAACCCCCAAAATATTCCAGAAAAAGATGAGGGGAGGCTGGGCTGGGTCTCCTTCAATGGGCTTTTGCTGCCAAGGAAGACTGGGCTTGCCCTACACCCAGTACCAGCCCACCTGTCCCCAGCTTAGCCCCGGGTTGGGGGAGAGGGTAGTGGTGGGGGTGCAGCTGGGAGGAGCAGCTGGGTAGTGGTGCTTGGGGAAGTTGGGCTGGGGGAGGGGGAGCTGCCCGTGTACAGTCACCTTTGCCCAGTGACAGTCTCAAAGCTTGGCCAGGGCTAAGAAACTACACAGGTGTGGGTGGAGCCATTTAAGCAGGATGGCTGTAGCCAGGGAACTACAGAAGCCGGGGCTCAGGCTTGGCCCTCCTCCTCTAACTGATGATCTGCCGAGGTCGTCCGTAGCCTGTCATGCCAGACTGGGAGGCCCCTCTGTTGCTGCCCATCTGAAGACCAATGACATGCTTTCCCTCCTGCAGCTGGCTGTCTGTGAATTCTCTCTTATGCTCCTGGGCTTTCCTAAAAAAGGAGGAACCAGGTTAGACTTGTCGGAACCACTTGATATTTTCTACCTGTTTTGTGATCCCTCTTGCTCTCTACTCCAATCCCATCCCTTTCTTGTTTCACTGAGTGCAAAAGAGTAGAAAGGAAGGAGCCAAGAAGTATGAATGGGGCTGGTGACAGCTCAATGAGAGCACTGTGTAGCATGCACTAGACCCTGGGTTCCATCTCCAGCACTGGGAAAAAAAAAAAGCATGAATGGTCCATTTCCTCTCATCCTAGACCCTCACTTGGTACCTTCCTGGCTATCTGCTTCCCCACAAGTTGTCCAGCCCAAGCCACCCCCATCCCATGGAGAGATCCAAGCATAGGGGGCAAGGATTCCCGGTGGCCACATACTTCATAAACCAGTTGGGATCGCCACGGTAATGCCCATCATTCTTGGTCACTGCCAAGCTTCCCAAAGCCATCAAGGTCCTCTGCACTGCTGCTAGGTCTTTGCCTATGAGAAGAAAGAGCAGCCAGGGGATGAACTTCAGGACTGAATAGGTAGGATTTCAACCCAGGGCATGTTTATCTCAAAGAAATGGCCAAACCAGTAGTAGGCAGTGTGCCTGAATCACGGAGGCTTCAGTGGATCCTACAGAAAGGCTTTGTGAGTGGTGTGGTAATCTCAGCATAACCTTGCTCTGCACAGTCTGGCAGATACCTGATTGCTGGATATTTTGATCATTCCCTCCCCCTGACCCAGAATCCTGTTCTCCACCTGCTCACTGCTGTCCCACCAACCCCAGCCTCTTATTCCTCTGTACCTTCAAAGAGGTCAACTGTCTGGAACATGTCTGTCTTGGTGACCCCATAGTCCTCAGCCGCTTTCAGGAACTGAGCCACCTGCTCCATCTGCTTGAAGACCATGGAAGGTGGGTTCTCAGGCACCTTCACTGGCTTGGAGCCTTCAGGATACAGGCTGTTTACCAGCTTGCTCAGAATCTGCCAGGCAGAAGACACAGCATGGAATTCACTTAATTCAGAAGTCCTGTCCCATGAATCACAGGATGGCACAACCCCTGCCCTTCCCAGGGTGCCACTCACCACACCATTCTTCAGCCAGACCTGGAAGCCGAGGCGCCCACGGTCTGGGCGACCTACGTCAGGGCCACACTGCACTATGATCCACTCCACCAACCGTTCCTCCAGCTCCTCGTCATACTTCTTCTCAATTTTGGACTGCACTTCACGGCTCATGCCATAAGAAGGACCCTTGTTGGCCATGGTGGGGGCAGAGCTAAAACAGGATAAGGCAAGCAAGAAAGAGGGTCACAAGATCAGGGAACAGCTCTGCTTTCACTTGTGCCAAGCAAGCCTTCTAACTCTGTACAGGGTTCCCAGCCATCCTAGACATGGATCACAGCACTACCCATCTATAGGCCAGAGGTTTCTCTGAACTTGAACACCAGGAAAGAGGTTATCAGATGTTTGCAAGTCAAGAGCAGGGGTCTATAAACTTTTTGTTAAAGAGCCAGACAGTGAGCAGGGTGTGGATGCTGGAATACACCTATAATTGCAGCACTACTCTGAGAGGCTAAGGCAGGAAGATCGCAAGTTCAAGCCCAGTCTGAGTCCTGGATTCAATTTCCAGTTACACACACACGCACACACACACACACACACACAAACCAGATAGTAAATATTTAGGCTTTGCAGGCAATATATAGAATCTCTGCTATTGTGGCATGAAAGCAGCCATGGACCATGTATAAACAAGTGAACATAGCTGGCACAATAAAACTTTATTTACAAAAACAGACAACAGTCTGGATTTGGCCTGTGGCCATTTTGACAACTGCTGGTCTAGAGCATTTTTTCTTCGGCAAGACTGGCCACAGAGGCACTGGAGAAATCTTCCAGAGCTCAGGTCATTCATCAAGATAAAGTCAGCAGGTGTCTTTGTCCAGCTAGGCATGAAGTCGCTTACTGCCTCCCTCTTAATTAACAAGGTACCCCTAATTTACTTAATCCTCTAGCCCAGAAACTGGAAATACAAATTCAACTCTTTCCCAGATCACTCAGCCTTTGGGCCACAGCTGAAGAGACTCAGGCTTACACACACCTGGAAAGGTCTAAGAAGCTATCAAAGCCCACACGTTCTTGGCAAAGCAGCTCCCATTTCCTCAGGGGACCCAGCCAAGAGAGGACTGCTGTACTCACCCAACTCCCCCTAGGCCCTCAGGTTCTCATCACTGCAGTAGTTTGAAGAATCAAAAAGGCAGAGTCCTCCAGGGATGTTCCAGAGCCAAGAATCTGCCAGCCCAATCATGGGAAGCCCACCCAGGCACCATGCTGTCCTGAGGGTTAGGGGTGGCACTGCTCAAGAGGGCCCTCGAGGAGAGGGAGGCAGGCTGTGGGCAGGTGCAGGGCAGTCAGGTAGGCTGCTAGATAGACACAGGTATGGCCAGGTAAGAGGAACAGGCCTGGCCACAGGAGCTGCCTTAAGATGGGTTGACTTCTGCCCAGTGTTCATCTGCATAGCCTTCCAAAATGGAGGACTAAAGGAGATCAAACCCTGCCCCTACCCTCAAAGAGGTCAGAGGTCGGGACGAAGATAAGGAGTTGAGAACGGAGGCAATGGGCATGCTCCCCAACCTCCAACCTGGGAGAGTGAGACCCCACACACACATACCCCCATGGGAAGCAGAGTAAATACCATCACGTCACTCTGGTCTCAGGCCAGCTGCCAAACTCCAACGTCCTGCCTTTCCCAGCTGAGTTCCCCAGTTGTGCAGTGGGATAATAGGATCTAAAACGACAGCGTCTGGGAACCTCTTTGCACACTCCCTGGCCTTCAGCAAAGCTCTTCGAAATGCCAGTCTCCTGGAGGTGACAGGGAGCCAGCCAGGCTTCGGCCAGGCAAGTCATACAATAAGTGGCCTCCCCGCTCCAACCTCTACCTGCTTCCGAATCCTTCCTGAAGATGAACTTGGGGAGAAAACATGAGAGGGCCTCATCTAAATGCCAGCCCTTGGCCACTTTACTTCTCTCTGTTTTCTTATCCGTGAAGTGGGGGGTGGACCACTGAGGACATGGTCCTCTGAGCCCTGTGAATAAGGCGGACCCAGGCCCAGCATTACATCCCAGTGGTGACGCTGGCAAATCCAAAGATGTCCCTACTTCCTTACCCTGTCCTATGTCCCACCCTCTCCCCTTCTAGCCAAGAACTCCTGGACAAGGAACTATGGTCAAAGGCCACAAGTAGAGCTAGGTGTAGAGGTGCATGCCCACAGTCCCACCACTCTGGGAAGCTGAGGAAGGAAGGTTGCAAGTTCAAGGCCACGATGGACAACTTAACAAGACCCTGCTAAGTCAGGGTCTTGGGGATTTAGCTCAGTGGTTCCACTGCCTGCTTCGCAAGCGCAAGGACCCGAGTTTGATCCCTGGTACCCACCGCCCCAAAAAAGGCACAAGTCAATTGGGACCAAGTGTTTTCAGCCACCCCTTCTTCTTGGCTTTCACCCAGCCTGTCTCAATCTTTGCCCGCCATCCCAGCCAGGCACATGCACCTTTGGGGGCCAGGCAGTCCCCTGCCCCACCCACCAACCCTCACATCTGCCTTCTCCTCCCATGCCACCTGCTGGGCACGGGAAGAGAGCATGGAAGGAGAGTGTCCCCCCCCACACAACCCATAGCTTTCTGTCTCAGGAGGGTAAGGGCAGATGGTATGAGTCAAAGGGTCAAGGCTCATGGTGACAACAGCAGAACACTGGAGCCCTTACATCTAGAGACAATATTTGGATTTTGGTCAGAGCAAGGGAGGGCCATGAAACATGCCAAGCCTGCCTCCACCCAGCACCACCCTTCTTCCCCATCTGCTGAAAAGTCCCAAGAAATCCCTTAGAGTCCTCCAATGGACACCTCCCCAGTCCCACCATGGAGCCACTGCGGAGAGAGGAAGGGAAGATAGTGGCAGGGCAGCCCGCCAGGGTCATTTCTAGACAGAGACTCCAGGGACAGAGGCACAGGATTCCTGTGAAGTGGGAGTCTTGTCCCATGGCTCCTGTCAGGCCTCCCTTCCTCAGGGAAGCTGTAGGTAGGGTGGGCATGCAGAGAAGAACAGGCAGAAGCCCAGAACAAGCAGCATCAGGAGTTTGTCTGGGCCTGGTTACTCCATTCTCAGCACTGTAAATACAGCCAACAAGAGTGAGAATCCTGATCTCTGAGAGAGGGGGCTCACTGGAACTGCAAGGATAAAGCATAGTGGCCCTGCTGCACAAAACATGACCCATCCTCACTGTGACCCTTTGAACAGTAGCCGCAAAGGTGAACCACCCAGACCCTTTAGGAAGGACTAGGGCCCAGGACTGCCCAGCTGTCATCCCGGAGCTCCTTCTTGGCAATGGCCATTCACAGTCCCTACCTACAGTGGGGGTCACCACCCTCTCACACTGTGGAAGGAGCTGGGTGCAGAAGGCGGCTTCTCCAGCCTAGCCCTGCAGTCTGCCACCCTGCCCAGTCCTAGATCACAGAGCTCTGTGTGGCTGGGGCCGTAGTGCAGTGGGACAGCCCATGCTTGGCATGTGCAAGGTCCTGGGTAGAGAGTCCCGTGGTCCTTCCCACTGCGTTAGGACCACCACAGGGCAGTCCTGTGCAGCTCCAGCTCTGGGACCAGCCCCTGCTCTTCTCCAGAACTAGGGAATCCATGCCCCTCACCTCTGTGGCCATCCTGCTGGGGGTAAGACAGACAACAGAGCCCCGGCCCAAGCAGGCAATGCCTTGACCCTAACACGGCCTGTGGGTGTACTGTGGCTGAACTGGGGAGCCTTCCCTCACCCCAACTGTTCCCACTAGATTCTTTTGCCTTAGCCAAGTCACCCTTGGCATTTCAATGAGCCTGAGGCCACTCAGTATGAGATCCAAGACTGGGGATCCCATCTCATCCACCAGTCTAGCACGGACTCTTTTTCTGCAGACTTCTGGAGAAGAGGCATCCAGGCTGAGTGAGAGGGTGGGCCTCCCTAGCAGGGAGCACAGGCCAGGGACCTTAGAGAGCCCTGTCTGAGACACACCCTTTCTAGAGCTCCAGCCCAGCGTCCCCCAGGCACTCACAGGTTTCTTGGGGACTCAGAGCAGCGAGTGTGGTCTCCGTGTCCGTGTCAGTCTGAGCTGGGACGGCAGGACGGGTGTGGGCTGGGTGAGGGGTTTAAAGGGCTGCAGCCGCGATGATGTCAGCCTCCCCCGCTGGCTCAGCCCCCGCCCCAGCTACCTCCCAGCAGGAGGAGCCTGGCCCGGCCCCCCACACCCAGCCCCCCCAGTGACTCCGCACGGGCTCCATATTTGGAGAAAGACACCAAGTTGGAGCAGACTGCTGGGGGTGCCCAAGACATTCTCTGCGTGCTTTGGAGATGGAGCCTCCAGGGCGGGGTGACGGGGAGCCGCCGGGAAAAGCCTTTTATGGGCAGGACCACGAAGGCCTTCCCTGCTCTCCCGACTTAGGCTGCTCCTTCTTCATGGCTCCCTGCCCCCGGAAGAGTCCAAGACAAGTCTGGTCAAAAAGAGAGGAAGGGGGCTAGGAAGAAGGGATCCCTGGGACTCATGGGGGACAAACCAGTCCCCCTCTCTCAGGGGAACCAGCCTTTACTGAAGCTGAGCTCTGTGCCAGGCACCTGGGAAATGCTCCCATTAATACAACCATACTGTGAAGGCAGAGTCACTGTCCCCATTTTACAGATGAGAAAACTGAGGCTCAGAGTGCATCCTCCCAAGGCCACATGCCTAGGGATGACTTGTAAAAACCAGCTCCCTGCCCACCGGGTCTCTGACCACCAGAGAGGCCATCACACCCCTCTAGCAGTTGTCCTACCTGCTCAGGTGGGGGAAGCTTTCAGTTGGGGCATCTCAAGTTATGTGCTTTAGTTGGGATGGGGTTTGAGGGTTCAGCAACAGTGGAGTAACCCTGGCCTTACCCAGAGGGGACTAAGGTCTGGCAGGGCTAGATACAAGGGCTGGAGACTCAGAAGGCTGGGTCACCTCTTCTTCTACCTGTTCTGGAAGGAGACCCATTCGGATCTTGCTTGTACCTGGCTGCGGGGTCTTGAGAAAGGAGAGGCTGAGGAAGGTGGGGGACTTCCAGTGGAGTGTCTGGACTGTCCTCTTGTGCACACCCACCCTGTACTAGGGCCTCTGGTAGGGAGGACCCAACACACCCACTATACACAGAACACACACATACACACACAGCCGGCACCACCCATGCCAAGCTAGGCTTCTTGGAGAGAGTTTACCAGGTCTGGCAGGCAGGGGAGGGGCCTGCCTCAGAAGCTCCACCCATACAGGCCGGCTTCCCTAACTCCAGAGCTGGGCGGCGATAGAGCTATAGTGCCCCCCAGTGGTAGTATAGGAAAGAGCAGGGAGAGAAGCTGGAGACCGAGGAAAGCCGGCACTCTCCATTCCTGGATCCCCACCCCCACTCCATACCTCGGGTTGTGTCTTGAGTTCACCAGACTCCCTGGCCCCTGATTTTTGTCTTAGCCTGCTGAAATCAAATCAAGGCCTTCCACACTGAGCTACATTCCTAGCATTTTTTTTGAGACAGGGTCCTACTAAGCTACTAAATTGCCCGGGCTGGGATTGAATTTGAGATCTTCCTGCCTCAGCCTTCCAGAATGTGGGAATTATAGGTATGCGCCACCATGCCTGGCCTATGGATGTTTCAAAACTTTCTTCACTTGGAGCCTGCCCACCCTCTTTGGCACATTCCATTCCTGTATTGACATCCCGAGTACCCACCTTGACTCTGCAGCCTAAGCTGGGAAATGCTCAGGCAGAAGTGAAGCCGGCCTCAGCCTGATGAGTAGGTGCCAGGTGGGCAGAGCCAGTTGCTATTTACCAGGTACGGGGGATCTTAGAGGGGAGATGGCACAGCAAAGGCTTTCCCAATTCCTAGCCTCTGCTCAGCAGTGTCTGCTACAGAGGCAGCCCTGGTAAATGTTTACCAAGTTAATGGTGTTGTTTGAGGTAGAGGATGACATGGGGAGAGGTGGTCCCAAAGTGGGAAAAGGAAGATCCCAGCCCATCACTCACTCTCAACATCACCCAGGATGGGAGAGAAAATAAGGGGCACAGGAACTGCATCTGGTCGTTTCTTTATTGAATGCACTCATTCATAGAAAACAGAAACACAACCATAGTATGGAAACACATAAAACGGAGCTCTGGAATGAAGACCCAGACCAGCCTCCTATCCCAGGCCAAGGAGAGCTATAAATAGTTGGGGAGACTAAATCACATTCCCACCCCAAGGCAGAGACTCAACCTGATCAGCCCCATCCTTGGTATCTGGAATGGACCAGGTAAGGTGAAGGGAATCAAGGACCAGAGCAGCCAGAGGGCCCAGAGCTGAGGCAACTCCATGTAAACTCCAAGGCGTGTGTGTGTGTGTGTGTGTGTGTGTGTGTGTGTGTGCGCGCGCGCGCGCGCGCCTGACGAAACTTGGCTGAAGACTGGATGGACTCAGAAGCCAGCCCTGGGTCTGACAGTGAGACTGGGACTGGGGACGCAGAGGGAAATGGCATGTCCCTTCCATAAGCCCCTTTCTCAGATAGGCACTGGGGCTCCCGCAGCTGTGGAGGGAGGATGGGCTGGGCTCTATACCACCCTCCTCTGCCCCTGGACATTCTTGGGCAGTGTCAGTGGCACTGAAAGGCCCCACTTGGGGCTTGGCAGGACTGAGGACTCAGAAAGGGACAGGTGAATTGTTTTTCCCTCCAATCCTGGTGCTGGCATCAGTCTGGGAGGCTTATGAAATGAAGAGATGACCTCCGAATTCAGCCCCTCAGTCAGAGGAGGCTCTCAAGCTGAGCTAAACGCCACTGCTAAACACCAGCCCGAGCACAGATCAGAGTGGGAGGAGCCTGCTCTGGGCCTCTTGTAGGCCGTAGCACCAAAAGCCTGGAACCAGTTGGCCAGCCCCCAAAATCCCACACCTGTATCGACCCTGGCTGACCAGAGTAGGCAGTGATGGCAGCGAGGTACAGCCCCCGGGAGAACTGGAGCCCCGTGGCAGGACACAAATCAGGTCCCAGACCAGGGTCCTGGAGTGGAAGCATAGGAAGAAAGGGCCCTGGGTTCCAGACTGAGGGGGCGGGGAGCATGGGTAGAATGCAAGGCATGAAATGGGGAGGGTATCACCTTCCCTCCTTCCTCCTTCAGAGGGACAAACGGAGAGCCAACAGACAGGTGGGGGCCTGTGGGAGGCCCCAACACTGAGAAAAAAGCAGCAATTTGGCCAATGTCTGGGCTATCAGGGGAGCAGGCCTCCTCCCTGGCAGAGGGAAGCTGCAAGGCTCAATACCACCATGACTGTACGGAGTCTGGCCTGCGCTAGACCTCGCTGTCCCACCACCATCCAGTGTTGGGCAGCAAGGCTGGGGCTCACAACCCCGGTACCATAGAGGCACCTTGGCAGGTGACAAAGAGGAGCTAAGGGCCCCATGAGGTAAAGCAAGGGGCCCAGCTCCTGCTAAAAGACATAGATCTTGTCCCGCTGCACAGTATCCAAGTCGTCATCCAGTGTCAGCAACACCTAGGGGGCAGATACTGGGTCAGGCGCAAAAGAGGCAGCCTCTGCCTCTCCTCCACCCTCCCCACTCAGGGCAGGGGTATCTCGTGTACCAGGAAGGACCCAAACATGGCGATGGAGGACAGGAAGTGCCAGATGTCGTGGTCATCAAAGAAGTTAAGGAGGATGCAGTCCCGATTGTGCTCCCTTGACTCTGCAGGAGTTTTCTGTGGGAGGGACAGTGGCAGCAGCCTGCTGACCCTGCTCCAGGGAAGCCAGGGCCAGACCCACTGGCCCTCTCCCTCTGGGGCACCTGCTCCTCCCAGCTGCAGGCCAAAAAGCACCTGGTTCTGACTCATTCCTGCCCCTCAGCCCCCACATCTACAAAATGGCTTTTTGTTACAAATGTTTGCCCAAGTTTGCTGTCTTCCCTTTTCTTTCTTCTGTCTTCCTTTTTCTTTCACTCTCATCCTCCCTTCAGCCTCCTCCCTTTTTTTTGTACTTGGGATTGAACCCAGAGCCTTTGCACTGAGCTATAACCCCATCACTTTTTGTTTTAAGACAGGATCTTGTTAATTCCCCAAGTTGCCCAGGCTGGCCTCAAGCTTGCCATCTTCCTGCCTCAGCTTCCCAGAGTGCTGGGATTACAGGCATGTACCAGCACACCTGGCCTCTTCATCCTTCTTTCCATGAACAGAGGGCTATGATTACTTGGAGATACTTCATCTCAGATGCAGAACTCACTGCCCTGCCTTGGCCCCATCCCTGTTCTCGTCTGTCCTCCACGGTCACCATTTCCCCTAAGTACGGTTGCCAAGTCACACCACTGGCCCCAGGAAGACAGTCGTGCGCTATGTGATGTTCAGGGTCCTCCCTGGTCTATCCACAACCTCTACTCTACATTTCCTGGTCATCTGCTTGTACCTACAGCTGTCTGTGCTACACTGAGGCCACAGACATGACCAAGGCCTGCCCTACCTTGAGGAGCTTGCAGGCTTTGCTTGGCTCCCAAATGTGTACGTTCACTGACCTCCAAATCTACCTTTACCTTCCCATCTTGCCTGTACCCTTCATTTCATGCATCGTATTATAAAGAACAAGACATGAGCTAGGGGCTAGGAATATAGCAGTGCACAGCATATGTCCGAGGCCAGGTTTGATCCTCAACACTAAAGAAAAAAGTGTCTCTCTTACACTAGATTATGAGCATCTCGTAGGCGAGACCGTGGCAAACTTAGCTCTGACCACAGACTGAAAGGGTGACCACACCCTGGCTGTGTGCCCTTGGGAAGATCAGTTGGCCCAAGACTCAGCTGCCTGCTAAGTAAAATGGGGGACATCTCCATGCTGGAATATTGAATATTAGGGTATGAGGAAGCGGATATGAAAAGTGTTGGTCTCAGGAGAAAACAGGCCCTCCGTGGGCTCATGGTAAGCCAAGGTGACTACTCACCTGCCAGGTGCTGAGTCCCTGGAAGAAGAAGAAGAGCGCAAAGCCCCAGACCACAGAGGTGCAGATGATGCAGAGCAGAGGGATAAGCTTGATTTGCTCCCCGCTCCGGAGCTGGGTGGGAGTAGGGAAAGGGAAGAGAGCTGAGGGCCAGACTTTAACCCAAGCCACTGCCCAGCCTTTTCTGGACTCCCTCTCCTGGGGCCCTCCTGGCCCTCCCTTAGGAAGCCTGCTCGGACCCCCAGCATCTCACACATGGAACTCAACCAGTCCTCATGCTAGTAGTCTTATGTCCTCACCTGACGTCCACCCTCACTGGGCCTTCACATCCCCAGGAACCTGGTGCCAACAAAGGGTACGAGCTGGGGGCTCTCCTCTCACACTGGAGGGTCTGGGGAAGCTCACCTGGAAGGCACCTGGTCCTCAGAGGCCCCAGCCCATCACAGATTTTGAAAGCCCCACCTCCTCTCAATCTCTGCAATGAAAGGGCCCCTGGGCTGGGACCTGGGAGTGGAGATCAGTGGCAGAGTGCTTGCTCAGTGGTTGGTTCTAGCCTCCCTGCTCCTCAAACCTCGCTGGCATAGAAATGGACAGAAAATTTTCATTCCCTCTCATGGTTGCCCAGGAAGACCATGCCCATATCCATTCCCAAAAGCAGAGCAGTTGAGAGAAGAGGCTCAGCTCTCCCCACTCACCTTCATGATAATGTAGAAGGCAAAGTAAAGTAGTAGGTTGCAGATACCAATGGCCAACAAGTAGGAGGCAAAATCATTGGGCCGCATGATGAGCCCATAGGCAGCCCTGCAAGAGGGAAGAGGGAGGGGAGAGGGATTGGCGAAGCAGGGGAGGGCCAAGAGCAGGAGCCCTCTCCCTGGTCCCCACACCACTACTTTCTATCATGATGCTGGGCTGGGTTCAGGGGCCTACAGAAGACTCTTGAAGCCCAGGGACCAACACCTCTCTCCTCAGCCCTTATCCCTTACGCCCAACACCTACAAGTTGTCCACAGGCCCCAAGGCAGCCAGTGGCTGGCCACGCCCCCCAGCTGTCTTCCCAGCCAGGTTACCCCAGCCAATGGCCACACTCACAGCGACCAGTTGATAATGTTGCCCATGACCAGCAGCACCATGCGGTCCTGGGGGGAAGCAGAGACATGGAGACTGAGAGGAAGAAGAGAGACAGGGAGAGAAGTGGCAGAAGGCCCAAGTCAGCGAGTCCTCTCCCCTACCCCGGGTTCTCTGCTACGCTTCCCTGTCCCCACTGGAGGGAAGAGAACAGTGGGGAGGAGAAAGGGGCTGGGGAGCCGGGCAGGTACCACGTAGAGGGGCCCGCTGCACTGCCGGATGCAGTCCGTGTAGAGCACATGGAGGATGCGGCGGAAGATCCCCCAGTCTGCAAGGAGAAGGGCATGCTGCTGAAGAGCACAGGGTACTCTTCCGTGCTGGACCCCTGGCCTGTGCCAGCTGAAAAAAGCCAGAGCCTTCAGAGGGCACAGCCATCTCGAATTCCTCACCCAGTGATTCCTCCAGGGCCCTCAGTGAAAGGACAGAACCGAAAGGTCTCCAGTCTGTTTAGGTCCCCAAGGCCACCAACCCCTCACTCCAGAGGTTCCTCAGCCCTCTCTCCCATGCCCTGCCCTGGGAAGGCTCTTACCCAGCTTCCAGCGGCCCATGTAATAGAGCTGCGTGCTGAGGAGCAGGGTGGCAATGATGTGAATGACGGAGAAGACAATCCAAAATGCCGTGTTCCCTTTGCCAAAGACCTGTCAGAAGGCCATAGGCAGCACGAGTGAGGGAGTGCCCAGGAAGGAGCAAGATCTCTCCAGCAGGTGGAGAGGCAGCATGCACACCCACATGTGGGAATATGTGTGTGCACTTCCCCTGGGGTAAGCACTCACCACGCCCAGCACGGAGAAGAAGATGACGATGGCCAAGCAGGCATAGGCACTGTAGGCGCTGGCATTGATGTCTGGGTGCCGCTTCTGGTAGAGCTTCAGCATGCAGAGTCCAGCAATCATGTACATGAACGATGTGTCTGGGTTGGGGGACATGGAACATCCGCCAGGCCTTAGCAGAGAACCTCAGCCCAGCAACCAGCAAGGAAGAGGGCCCCATATCTTGTTATAACGTGGAGTGAGGTGGAAGCAGGGTGAACTCCAGTCCCTTACTGTCCCTGCCACCTCACTAGTTGTCAGTAGTCTGATGCCTCCTGATGACAAAGACAACTTAGTCTGAGCTTCTTGGTCTGTGAGCACCATTCCTAATGGTTCTGCTTTCTGAGCTTATGCATGCCTTTATGTAGGACAAGCTCAGCAGAGGCCCATTTACCATATGTGGGATATGTATGTGCCATCGCAGCTACCCTAGCCTTGGAGTTCCCTATAGGGCTGAGTCTTAGAGATACCTTTGGTGACCTAGGAGTAGTGCAGGGCTCAGGCAGGCTAGGTTCAGCCAAAGAGGGAGCTCCACTTACCAAACTGGAAATTAGTATAGTTGGGGCAGACGTGATAGCAAGCACTAAGAAGTCCCTCCATCATCAGTGCTGTGCCCATGGCATAGAATAGACCGAAGTGTTTGGGAATCCCACATTCCTGTAGGGAAGAAGGGAAGGGCAGGAGGGTGAGGTAGGAAGGGAAGAAGGGACCCAAACAGGTCATCCTGTAAGGAATAAAAGAAAAGGGGTGGATCCATGTTGAGTGGGTATATGTGGAAGGCTGGGCAAGAGAAGGCAGAGCAAGGGGACCAGAACAGGGAAGACTTGGGCAGGGCAGGGCTTGGCAGGGCAGGGCAGGGCAGGGCAGGGCTGGACTGAGTAGTATAGAGAGGGTAAAAAAGGATAAGGCAGAGCAGGATCCAGGCAGGGCAGGGCAGGGCAGGGCAGGGCAGGGCAGGGCTGG